GCGTCTAAACTGTCTAAAATCAGGCTCCGATACAACGGTACGCTCGGCCATACATTTCTTGGAAGGAGTTCATGGGTTAAACTTAAATGCAACCGAAGTTATGCTGTCGACTGATGTGAGTTCATTCTTCACCTCAATCCCCTAGAGTCTGGCAACTGAAACTGTTAATATTCTACTTTACAATCGAGAGGACCAATGAGCCTAAACATGCGAACCCCATTCAGCTGCTCTATACCTGTCTCAACACCTATTTCACTTTCGATGGCACTGTCTAAGAACAAATCAAAGGGACTCCGATGTGTTCGTCGCTATCTGGTTTCCTTGCTGAGGCGGTCCTCCAAACGTGAAATGGTTTCTGAATTAAACATGATCCCGAAATTTGCTTCCCCTGGCATTTCTTTTACATTTAAAGCTGGGGTAAACAGTTAACTGGCGTTCCTATATCTTTTGGTCCACTATAAGACTGACGGAGGCCTAAAGACGACGGTTATACTGAATGGCAACCGACACATGTCAGGTCTGATTCTACCAAAGTAATCACCCAATGTGCTACAAACGCAGAAGCGTGCGAACTCTTAAAAAAAATGGCGGAAATTCATTGCAACAAGAAAGGAGATAGAGTAGCCCAACTTCATTATCTTCGGTGGATGTTCAACTCCAGCGCTTAAAATCGCAACCTCTTAGAATGCAGCAGACGAACGAAACGGACTACTAGCCCAGTGACAGAAAAACCAACAGTGTTGCGTGCAATGCCCTAGGTCGAGAACGTATCGGAAGTAGTCACTCGTCCCCTACAACCATCGGAGATCGGCGTGGCCAAGAGACCTGAGGCAACAATAAGATGTCTATTTATGAGACCAAAGAACCCTGTATCACTCGCTGAATTTGTGAATGTGGTGTATCGTATACAGTGTAGTTCATGATAAGGGAACTACATCGGGGAGACCGTTAAGCGATTGCGTACTTGCATGAATGAGAAGGGTAGTGAGAAGGGAAAACCAACTCTTGTTGATGGTGGAGGACTGTTCAGCCTCTGGAGACACCTTCGCTTTCCAGAACACCGAAATCCTAGGCCGAGGTAACGACAAAGCATTCAGAGAAAGACTCGAAGCATGGCACACTGCATAAAATTCCATCAACCGCCGTACGATTCTCCCGTCGTCTTACCAGCACTTACGAGTGTGGCTTTATCAACTAATCGCCGGCAGGCAGTCAAACTGCCCGTCATCTCTAGCTACCCCATACTCCAATCAGAATAACGGCATGTGGGAAGGTACATCGGATACAAACGAGCCACCAGGGGTACCGTGGAATAAATGAAGCAACAAGTCCTCCTGTCGGAACAGTCAGGCTTGAAAACAGACGCACCCGAGAGTCAAGTCAAGTCAAGTTTATTAAGGAAAATGTAGGCAAACGCCTTTGAACTCCCTATCGGTACACAGTAGTTAAGAACTGCATAGACAAAGCCGACCATTACAGAGAAGTCGTTTACGTAATTGTAGGTGGCTACTCACTTGTTCCAAGTAATATAATCAGATGGGATGATGTCAGTTAACACGAGCCAGCAGGTTTAACTGAGCAAAAAGAGCAGACAGTGAAAAAAACTCCGAAGGCATGGCTCAGAATTCAAAAAAAATGGAATGTAGTTTGTGGTTTTTGTTAGGAGAAAAACTGTCGCTCGTGGGAGTAAGTATGTTAAAAAATATGTTGGGATGCAGCCGTTAATGTTGGCGGCAGGCTAGAGGGTCCACCGCGACTTATATCTTGATTGGAAATGCCATACGTTTACGAGACTGCAGAGTCACGAGAAAATCCCGAAAAGTGGGAGCTGCGACCACGATACGTCTTTGTCAATTTCCGGGGCCGTCATCAACAAGGTGAAAATAGGAGGAGCCTCCACGATCGCAACTATTCCATAGGACCCTACAAGATCACAGTCGATATTTCCCACGCTCCTCCTAGGA